GGGTCTGATTATGGAACTGGATTAGATAGATACAAGGAAACTGCTCGTATAACTTCCCTCATAGGCAGTGTTCATGTTTAATTTCTAATCAGTGGCGATCCAAAGGGTATTAATAGTGATTGATTTAATGGTGAAAACTTTGTTGAATGTCAAGGGGAGGCAAATTAAACTTGCTTTAAGTAGGGAGACAGCCATTATCTAGCATTTGACAAAAGACAAGAGGCAAGAGCAGAGAAATGGAGTGGAAGGACAGATCAGTCAATGATCTGACAAGAATAGAATGGGCAGCAACTGTGACTAGGTTAGAAAGAGGGTCCTACAAAAGGATGTTAGCACAAATGAACTACTTCAGGCTTCATCTAATTTTGACAGAAGTTAAGGCCAATCCCACTGTGATAATCAAATCCTCTTTAAGAGAAATTATTCTTCTAGGCTTGGGGTTGAGATGCAGTGGTTGACTCAACATGGTCAGTTAGATATTAGTAATATGTAGGACCACTGGATTTTAACAAAGTACAAACTACTCATATGAACATTTTATATTTAAAAAAAAATTCAGAACTTGTCATTCATATTTAGACTTACTAAACCAGCCAAACTGGCAATCAGCAACGCTTTGGCAAAATGCTTGTGGGCAATCTGTGCCTTCCTTATGAAGGTGCAGTTCCCTCTCTTCACCACAACAAGCTTGTCCTTTATGCCATCTGGGGGCACATCTGTCGAGTCACAGAGTATGGTACTTGTCAAATCTTGTAATGGATACTCAGTCTACAAAGAAACAAAGTAGTAATAACAATGAGTCCTTGCGTTCTGAACATCTTCAAGTACCCAGAAATTGACAAAATGGCAATGATGGGATCTCTCGTGCACAGCACACCGTTTCTTGGTCTGCTCAGATTTAGATTGGATTTGTTGTGATGCAACTGTTGAGCTGAGTTGAGAAGGTCACAATGACAAGATTTGGGACTGAATCTGTTTCGAAATAGATCAACAAAAATTATGTTGCTCAGACTGGCCCAAAACCTACAGCACCCCTAAACTGAAACTTCACTTAGCAGAACCAGTTTTAAAATTTGCTGTTCCAATGTGGAGCAAAAGCTCAAATTGAAGTCTTGTTAAGCTGCAGTTAGGCTTTCCTTTATTTAATCACAAGGTACACAGGTGCCTTACTCCAGATTTGCACACGTATGATGTGGATTTAATGTTACTGATATTGAATTAAGACACAGGAGTCAGACAGACAACATGAAGATTTTGAGAAAAGAATCAAGACAAAAGTTCAAAATACAGGAGCTCTCAAGATTGTCTACAGCACTGGATACCGGCTGATTGGGCAGATTGCAACAGAAAGCTGTTTGCCTCAGGAACCGGGGGGGGGGGGGGGGGAGGGAGGGAGGGAGGGAGAAAAAAAGAAAGAACAAAAGAAAGAACAAATGATATGGATAGCACCAGGCTAGGCCGTTATGCCTTCCATGACCCAATAGCTTGCTGATGGTATTAAGGCTCACAAAGAAAAGTTGATGTGGTTTAAAGGTACTGGAGACTAATCAGTGTCTAAAGAACAAAGACAGGAGCCAATGTGACTTGAGAAATGGGAGATTAATTCAATAAATCAAAGAACTGCTGCACAGGAAGGGCCTAATCGGCCCTCCATGCCTGCAGCAGCTCATTAAATGAGCACCATCAAATGCTGATACCCTCTTGAAAGCCTCAATTGAACCTGCCTCCACCATACTTCCAGGCAGTCCATTCCAAATCATAACTCATCACCTTACTTCTCTTGCAAATCACTAAATCTATGCCCTCTTGTTCTTGTTATTACACAATTGGAAAAAGTTTCTTCCTTTCTTTCAAGCTGGCTTATGATTTTCAAAATCTCTAATCAGATCCCCCTCTTAGTCCCAACTTCTTCAATTTATGCTTATAACTGAAGTACCTCATTCTTGGAACCATTCTTGTAAACCACTTCTGCACTCTCTCCAACACATTCAAATTTTTCCTATAATGTTGCACACACAAATGTAAACAATATTCTAGTTGAGGTGTAACAAACATCTTGTACAAGTTCAACACCACCTCCCTGCTCTTTTATTAAAAGAATACTGTATTCTTTATTTACTACTCTCTGTACCTGCCCTATCACCTTCAATGATCAGTGTACATACACACCCAGATCCTATGTTCCTCCCTTAGAATCATACCCTATCTTTTATATTGGTCTTTCAATGTACCAAAACTTACATGCCACCTACATGCCCACTCCACCAACTTGTCAATATCCTCCTGGACTTCCACACTGTTCGCCTCACAGTTTACAATGCTTGAGTCTAATGACATGTGCAGACTGCAATCCAAGCTCCAGATGATTAACATACATCAGAAAAAGCAACACTAACCTTTAGAGAATTCCACAACAAACCTCCTGCCAGCCTGAAAAATATCTGTTGATCGTTACTCCCTGTTTCTTATCTTTCAGCCAATTTAAAATACACATTGCTACTGACCCTAACCTAACTTTCAAGTCTGTTGTGTAGCACTGTATCAAATACCTTCTGGGAATCCATGGACACCACATCAGTGTTACTCACATCAAGCCTGCAAGCTCTCCAAAAAACTTCAATTTAGTTAACCACGATTTCCCCTTTAGAAATCTGTGCTGTCTCTTCCCAAACCAACTCACTTCTTTCTATATAACTACTAATTCCATCCCAAACTGTTTCTAGACATTTCTCCACTTTTTTTTTAAAGAAAGCAGTATTCAGCTAATGGAATATTTGCTCCTCTATGAAAAATGAAATCATTATTAGTTTTGGAGCTGCATGTTTATAATATAAAAGCTGACACAGCTGTAAATAAAAACTGATACAGTGTATATAAAAATCCATCTCTATCATTCACCAGCCAGCTTTCTGGATCAGGATAGTGCAGGAAAAGAAGAAAGCAACAAAAAGCCAAAAGAGAGCCTTCATTTGCAGCAACCGCGTTACAAAGTTACTGCTGTTGGGCTGATTACTTACAGCATTATCCAGAGACTTTGGAAAGGGCATCCAATCACCATTGTAGAAAACACAGTACTCCCTCACAAGGGTACTACTGAGATTACTGACAGCATGAAGAATACCTTGCTCTGCCCCAACCTGCACAAGAAAGATGACGGTCAGGACATGGAGGAATAGGTTGGGGTAATGTGGAGAAAACACTTGCCCTGAAGGGTCGGTGGGCGTAACGTCAGTCCCGGGGGGGTGCAGCGGAAGAGAATAACACCGACCCCGGGGGTAGGGGACTAACCGCCTCCGGGTGGGGGGGGGAAGAGAGGGATAGGCGGATCCAGCCCGACCCCCGGGGGGAGGGGAGTGGG